TAATTAGGTTTGTACAAATACAGTTACAAATCTTTCTTAACAATTTGAGTCAAACACCTTGGACCCTCTGACTCCAAGGGTCTCTGAGGTCCCATCAAATTCTACTTTCTCCATTATTGCTGAGAAGGACTGAGAGTCGGCGCCCCTGCCGCTAGGGCTGGGCCCCCAAAGGGACATGCGGAGAGCCTCAGACGAGGCTCGTAGTTCCTGCAGGGACACCGGGCTGATGGGCAGCGCGCTGACACAGCCCCTTCAGCCTCAGGCCCTCTGACCGGACTGCCCCTGCCGGCCGCTGTGGCAGCTTGTCGGGCTCCGTGCTCCTGTTGGACTTGGCTGGGGTGTAACTGGGCCAGGCCTGGCTTCTCAAAACAGGCGTGTGGGTGCTTGGCATTTCCTCCCGTGCAGAGTTGGGAAAGGAGGTGCCCGGTGGCCTGGGGCTCCCCCTGAGGGAGGGGAGTCCTGTGGGCCAGGATCCGAGCAGGCTCCGCTGGGGGGCTTTCCTCTCTAGGCCTGCCCACCCCAGTCCACACCAGGCTCCCGGGGAAGCAGTCTCCCACCACTCAGTTCCTAACGTCCTGGCAGCCACTGTGTGATTCCCCCGCTGGGGGCTCCAGGCCGGTGTTAGGGTAAGACGGGCTCAAGTGATGGTTCCGCGGCAGAATCGGTGTGTGCTCTGGGGGTGGGCGAGGTGCGGCACAGTCCCATCTGGGAGGGGCACCTGCTGGAGCACAGGAAGAAAGGCCCCGTGGAGGGGCTCGTAGGTTAGGGGAGTGGACTCTCCTGGGCACCTCCTTTTACTAAGTGTTCTGCTCCCACCTCCAGGGTCTGGTCTCAGCAGCTCGGGAAAGTCTTTCAGGCCTAGGCCTCCATTTTCCTGCTTCTCTAGAGTGCAGACCCAGAGAAGGAATGGAGAACCGGGGACGCTGGGTTACCAGGTAGACCACCCACCCAGCTTGTGCTCCAAGGGAGGGCTGCACTAGGAGCCCAGACACCTGAGCCTCAGGTGACCCCCCACAGCAGGCCCCACCTTCGGTGGGAGGGGTCGGGAGTGTCCTGTCAGTCATCAGAAGGCATCTCAGCACAGTGAAACGGGTGGGCAAACACGAGGGACATTATTGCAGAAGAGGAGTCAAGCCCGAGTGAAACACTGGACACCGTGCCCAGAGGGGGGCGCGTGCTGCGCCGCAGCTGCTCTGCACGGGGGGCGGGGCTCCCCAGGCCCCTTCATGGCGCTGGCACCACCTGCTTCTCGGCCCCACTACGGGGGCGTCTGCGCCAGGTGACACCGGCTGCCTTTGGTTGTCGTTGACTCTCCTCTCTCTCCCCCGTGTCCCACTTTTAGATCCATCTTGCCCATACAGTCCCATTCTTTTCCCTTCATTATGTCTCCCATCTTCTGTGGTGAAGTGTGTGGACCATAATACCGCACCGACTTAATTGTTGCAATTGCCCCTGAGAGAATCCGAAAATGAGAGTGGCTCCCACTGCCTGCGACAAGGCCAGTGAGGTCATCCGGCGCTCTGGCCTGGCCCGTGCCCACCAGCCTCTTCAGAGTGGCCACTGACGCTCTGTGTGAGGACAGAGGCCTGCGTGTCTGGCCTGGGTGGGGTGCTGGCTCCAGGGAGGTGGACCACGCCATGCTCCCACAGTTCCTTGTAGCATGATGGGGCTGAGAGGGCTTGTCCATGCCTGGATTTCTCTGCCTGGAGGGATGCACGTGTCCCCCAAACGCTGTAGGAGGCTGGAGCAGGGCCTGCGTGGTTGGCTCTCTGGCTGCAGGTGCAGGTGGACACATGGTCCTACGCCTGGCACTTGGAGTCTGGACACTCACGTTATGAGTTCAGCCCAGTCATTTGCGTCAGTGGGTCCGAGTGTCTGTTTCCTCGTCTGGTAGGTGGAGATGCATAGCTGTGTGTACCTCCAGAGTGAGTGTGGGACTCGGGGGAAATCAGGACAAAGCCCTGGGCAAATGCACTGCTCTCCTTCCCAGCGCTGTCGGTGCCGTTCCCATCCACCTCCAGGACTGGCCTGGCCTGGCAGCTGGCTGGCCAGCGTGTGCCTGCCGGAGCCACCTGGGAGCACAGGCACCTCACGGTGGCCGAGTGACTTCATGCTTTCTCCAGAGCTGCACCAGGTCTTGTTTGCTCGTTACGTTCATGAGGAATCCTTGCGTCCCGTGTCAGAGCAGGAGGCGCATTGGCCACAGGGAGATGAGAACATACATGCCAGGTCATGGGATGCAGCCCAGCCCTGCAAACACACCAGAGTAGAACCAGAAATCGGAGTACAGCCCCAGCACTTAGCCTAGTTTCCTCCCCTCCCCTGGCTCAGTTTCCTCTTCTGTGAGATGGGGGGGGGGGGTGTTCCCTGCTTCTCAACACTGGGCTGATAGGAGGAGGGAGAGTTGGTCAGTGACCAGCCCCTGGGACAGCACTCTCCCAGTGAGGTCAGGACCCGGATGGATTAGGCCTGAAGCCTGCAACCTCGGTCCGCCTCTGGCCAGGCGGGCCTGAATCACATGGTGAAAATCAGGTGAGGGAAGATTGCAACTGGGTGTCGATTCTCCCACCCCAGGTCCTCTCCGGAGTGTCCCGGGCACTGGGTTTGGATTACAGAGACTTCTGATCCAGTCCCAGCTCAGGGAGCCAGGTCAGGTCCACCATGTCCTCATCTCTAAATGCCCACGTGACTTGGTGCCTCTACCCCAGACTGCGAGGTGCTCATGGACCCTGCAGGCAGAGAAGCTGCCAGGCCCAGGTGTCATGGCCCCGGGGTCTCCAACACCCTTCTGCCAGCCCTGCTCCCCCATGTCCCACACCGGCCCCTCAGACTGCCTGGGGAGGCTGGGCCTCCCCTCCATGTCTGTCTGTCTGTCTCCCTCTGTGGTCCCCCCTTTCATCCCTCCCAAACCAGTCAGCAGTAGCTGGGGCCAGAACCATTTGTCCAGGTCACTCCCTTGCAAGGTGGTATAAACCATCAGGGATGCGTAGGAGATGGAAGTCACCTCCCCGCCAAGGGGGCAGGAAAGGGGCAGAGTCTCCACCGGAGCCGCGTGCCCACCCTCTCCGCCCGCCTCCCAGGGCACTGGGGCACGGCACTTCCTGCGGCGCGGCCATCAGCCTTCCCAACTGGAGGGACGCCTCTCTCCCCTGCAGTTCCGCTCTGCTTGTTCCGAACAGATGACAACGAGACGGAGCATATGGGCCCCAAAGTCACCGGGCATTCTGGGAGAGTGACACTGCTACCCCGGGCTGGGCGGGAGGGGCCCCTCGGCTCCTGCACAGCTTCTCCCTTTGTTCTTCACAAGGGCACAGGGTCGCCTCTCCTGAGCCTCCTGGAAAGGAAGCACACACACGGGCTTCAGGAGGAATTCCCTCCTCTAGGCAGCAATGTAGGAAGGCAGGTGCCGGCTGGGCGCATCCATGGGGGGCGGATACATGGGAGCCCAGAGAGGGTTCCTTCTTGGCCTCTCCTCTCAGCCCTACCCCACCCGCTGCCTGTGGGACACCCACCCACCTGGTCTCCCCCTCCCCTTCCCAGCAGCAGTCTGAACCAGAGGCCTGCTCCCTCGGCGTCCTGCAGGTACCTTGAAAGCCCCCACAGGAGGTGCCCAGCTGGGCTTCAGGACGAGCTCCCTGATGGCCTTGGGCTGGGTCCCCCCCAGCACCCTCTGAGCTGATGTTCCTCCCCCTGGTACCTCTGACAAGTCTGTGGGCCTCTGAGCTACCCTGGTCTATGCAGGATTCTCCAGGGATGGTTTTCTTGCCTGAATTGGACAGCTGGGTAAAGGGACACGGTGTCAGCCCAGAGTGAGGAAGCCGGGCTTTCTTCTTGTCCTCAGCGATCTCAGGTCTGACCGAGCAGCCTCTCCCTGCCCTGGTGTCTGGGCGCCCAGGCCATCCAAGCCCTGGGCCCACGGCCCTCGGGGCCACGTGACGGCTCATTTGGAAGCAGCAGCTGTCAGGCCTGCAGGTCCAGCCTGGGGTGGGCGGGGAAGGCAGCCCGGAGAGCCAGCTCGGGCGCAGGGAGAGGCCCAGGAAGGGCATAGAAAGCAGGAAGGAGCGGAGCAGCTGGAGGTATAAGTTTGGAAGGCGAAAAAGGAGCTGGGGAGCGAAAGGCACAGGGAGCCCCCTTCTCTCTGCTCAGCCACTGTGGCTTCCTGAGTGTCTGCTCACGCTTTGGGAGGGGAGGGCGCTGCCCGGTGCTCCGTCACAGCCGCTGCGTGAGGGAGGGGGGAGTGCTGCTCCATCTCCTCCCACCTGTGACCTGTGGCCAGGGTCACCCTGTGGCTGCCCCTGCTGTTTCCCGCCCTTCCCTGGGAACTCCCAGGAGGCCCTAAGATTGGGAGTGTGAACCTTGATTCTTCAGGGCAGCAGGGAGGGCACCGGCTAAATATAACTCAGCCTGCCTGTGGGCTAAGTAGGTTAGAGCCAGGGACAGGCCCCATGGAGACAATACCGGCCCCCCAAATCCAGACCACGCAGCTGCACACACCAGCACATCCCTTCTCCTGCTGACACGCCTGCCTTCCCTCCACGTGTAGATCCTGACTTACTCATAGAGGGCTCGGCAGTGAGGAAAACCGGGAAGGGATTAAGATAGCCTCTGACGAGTGCTTCTGTGGTCTCCGGGCAGCAACCGGACTGGAACGCTGGCCACTCGGAGCCAGGCCGAGGCTGGCCAGCTGCTGGGGAGAGGCTGGGCTGGGGGGCGGGCGGTGGGAGTGCAGACAGGCCTCGCCCGCCCCGCCCGGCGCTCTGGGGCGGCTGGAATTCGGGAGCAGGGAGCCAGACCAGGCAGAGTCAGGGGTGCTCCAGATGGGCTTGTCACGGCTCCGCCTGGGCTCCGTCATCCAGCTGTGCATCAGGGTAGATCGCTGCCCCCCGTGCCTCACCGGGCTAGAGGGGAGAAGAAATCAGGTCCGGGCTGAGAACAGGCCTGGCAAGTGTCATGAAGTAGAGTCGGGATTGCCTGTCACAGTCTGCTCCTCTTCCCCGCAGGGCCACCCGTTCATCGTGCAGTTCAATGATGGAAACGCCACCGTGGTGTCCATGTGGGTGTGCAGGGCACTGGAGGAGAGGCGGAGCCAGCATGGGCCCCCCTGAGGCCTCAGTGGGGTGCTGAAAGCCCAGGACTGGTCGCCAGGGGACACCCCCCCCCTCGCTGTCTGCAGAAGAGCTCCGCTGGGCCCGAGCGTCTCGCTCTCACCTTCAGGTCTGCGGCAGACGCCCTTGCCTAGGAGCCCGGGAGGCCAGCCCTGGCCAAGGATGCCCTCCTGCCTCGTCTGGAGGCACCGAGGGAAGGGGAGAGGGGTGGCGGCATCGGGAATGGGGGCTCCTCTGCCCCACCCCTCTTCCTCTGTCCTAACGTTTATATCTGTAAAGGGTCAAGTGCCATCAGCATCCTGATGGGAATAAAAGTGTTACTGCTTTGTGACTGCCTGTCCAGTGAGGGATGTGCTAGGGTGTCTGTGACCCACCCAGGGTCGGGGCGGGCAGGGGCTCCCCCTTGGCAGGGTGTGTGGCAGCACTGGCTCCCTGGGGTGGGGCCGCCCTTCCCCAGGCACCTGCAAGCACCCAGGGCAGCCGGCGTCCTGGGGTGGGGCCGCCCTGGCTCCTTTCCCTTTCACAGCCTGTATGTAGCCCACCTGGAAGTCCTGTTGTCTCACCTTCAGAAGGTATTGATTCTACCACTTCCTGTCCTTACCCAAAGCCCCATGCCTGGACCGCTGACGCCACGGCCTCCTACCGGGCCGCCCTCACCCGGGCCCCGAGTCCTCCACACGGCTGTCAGACGACCAGCTAACCCAAGGCGGGACCTGACCAGCTTGGCTCAGCGGTTGGAGCATCAGCGGCCTGAGGATCAGAGTCGTGGGTTCAATTTCCAGTCAAGGGCATGTACTTCGGTTGCGGGTTGGATCCCCAGCCCTGGTCGGGGTCGTGCAGGAGGCAGCCCTTCAATGTGTCTCTCTCACATAGATGTGTGTGTCTCTCTCCTTTCCCCCTACCTCCTACTCTATCCGGGAAAAAAAAAAAATCAGTGGAAAAATATCCACAGGTGAGGATTAAAACAAAAAGCGAGGCGAATCATGTCTCTTCCAGTCTGAGAGCCCCCGGGGCTCCTACTTCACAATAAGGACAAGCCAAAGGCCCAAGAACGGCTGGTATGACCCTACGCCACCTGTCCCCGTTATCTTGGACCTCAGCTCCCTCTACTGCAGGCGCTGGCCTCTGATCCTTGCACATCCAGGCACCCCGTCAGAAGACGGCCAGCCCCGAAGGTCTGCTCCCACCGTGGAGTGCCGTCACCCGGAAGCCACGCCACCCAGCCCTGGGCCACCCAGCCGGGCACTTAACAGGAGCTGTGTGCCTAGTGCTTGTCACTGGAGTGAGAGCAGATGTATGTGCGTCCTGGCCAAGAAGCTTGAGATACAGATGTGCCTTCTCCATCACCCCTCTCTCCACCCTCCTGCTAAATGAACAGATGCCTGCAGCTGGAGGTGGGGGAGGGCTGAGCACAGATGGGAGGAGCCTGAATCCCTGAGCCACCACCTGGAGGAACGGGCCACCCCAGGAACACCTACATGGCCAGCAAATGAGCTAGACCCAACCCACTGTGGTGTTCTGTTTCCAGCAGCTGTACGAGGCCGACGGAGGCCTTTGGCTTCGGAGTGGGAGCGCTCTCCCCGGGTGTCTGCCCGGCTCACTCCGCACCCTTCCGATCTCTGTTCCATGAGCCTGACCTGCTGCCCTGTCCGGCCGCTGAGGCTCGGTGATTAGAGTGTTGTCCTGTACACGAAAGGTTTGCAGATTCAGTTCCCAGTCAGGGCACATACCTAGGTTTCGGGTTTGACCCCTGGTTGAGGCAATTGATTTTTTTTTTTTTTTAATCCTCACCCAAGGATTTTTTTGCATTTATCTTGAGATAGAGCTGGAGGGAGAGAGGGAGGAAGAGAGAGAGAGAAATATCAACGTGAGAGAGACACAGTGACTGGCTGCCAACCACACGACCCCACAGGGCCGGGGACAAACTGCAACTGAGATACGTGCCCTTGGCGGGAACCGAACCCAGGACTCTCTGGTCTGTGGGCTGATGCTCTAACCGCTGAGCCAAACCGGCCAGGGCTGAGGCAACTGATTGATGTTTCTCTCTCTCCCTCTCCCTTCCTCTCTAGAATCAATGAAAAAACATACCCTCACCCTGGCCGGTTTGGCTCAGCAGTTAGAGTGTCGGCCCGCGGACCAATGAGTCCTGGGTTCGATTCCGGTCAAAAACACATACCTCAGTTGCTGTTCAGTCCCTGGCCCTGGTCGGGAGGCAACCAGTTGATTTGTCCCTCTCACGTCAATGTCTCTCTCTCTCTCTCCCCTCATACTCTACCTGCAGATAAATGGAAAAATATCCTCGGACGAGGATAGAAGCTGGCGCCCTCCCACACCCATCCCCTGGGACGCACGCTCCCTTTGCGGGCTCCACTTCCTCCGTTGTATTTGTGACCATGTGACAAACCACTGATTTTACAATTTCTTCTGTCTCCTCCCTTCCCCACCCCCACTTACACTCCACAAGGGCAGAGATTCTCATATTTTCTTCACATGGTATCCCCGGTGCCAAGAATGGAGAGCCTGGCCTGGGAGGTGCCCAGTAAATGTTGGCTGAGTGGCCAGAGGGGTGTGACTCCGGCCCAGGCTCAGTGCACTATGTGAGACATCGTTGTGTTTTCTCGGGCTGGGTTGCGGTCATCACTCCAGGAACACTTCAGGGCGGTGCAGCCTCCAGCCGCCCCTGGGCCTCGGGCACAGCATTTGTCTCCTCACTGAGCGCCTGCTGTTCCGTGGGCTGGAAGGTCACAGGACTGGCGAGGCCCAGGCGATGCAGGCAGTGACCGGCCCAGAGCTCAGGGCAGGAGAGCACACCGGGCATTGCTCTGGGCTTTCCAGCGAAGGGGCCCTTAGTGAGTAGGGAATGTTCAGGGGCTCCCCAGAGGGGCCTGACCACCTGGAGTGTGAACCAGCCACCACCCAGCCTTAAATCTTGTCCTTGCTTTGAGAAGATGGACTCAGCAAGCCTGTCATTCCCAAGTCCCAAGCCAGGGGGTGGGGAACACTAGCAGGTCCATGCCAGCGCTGTGCTGAGAGTTTGCTATCAACTCGTTTAATCTTCACAACCATCCCATGAGGTAGGTGGTATTACTCTGCCCTTTTTACAGATGCAAAACTGAAGCACAGAGAGGCCAAGAGACTTGCCCAAGGTCACTCGGCAAATGGCAAAGTACACTTTGGAACTGAACTCCACCCTTAACCACAGCTACAGAAATCAGCTCTCCAGACACTACATGTATGCACGTGAGCACACGCCCATGCCCCATCCTCCATGTGCAGAGTGTGCATACAAACTGCTGTACAGAGAGACAGCTTTGGGAATGGAGCACAGGGAGCTGCTCCGTGACAGCCCCCCTTCCTCCGGACACCCAGTCAGAGCACCTCTAACGGCACCGCGAAGCCCTGCTCTAGGGGTACCTCAAAGCCCTGGACAGGAGGCCAGTTTCCAGGCTGACCTCAGACAGAGCATGTCTCTACCTGACCTCAGTCTCCTCATCCGTAAATGCAGGGGTTAGTTCCCCTGCGTGCGGGACTCTCCCAGTCCTGGCCCTGCAGCAGGGCGCTCACCCCTTGGAGCCATGGACCCCATGAGCATCCCACAGAAGTGAAGAGCCTTGCCCCAGAGTAGCATGCACCCAACACACACACACAGTTTTGTTCACAACGAGGGCTCATGGGTCCAGGTCGAGAGCCCCTTCTTTGGGGCAGCCCCCAAAGTCTACATTTTCCTCCATTTGAAGTCTTTAGAAGATGGGAATTGCGTGACCCTTGCAGGGTTCGGCAGAGGTCCCTCTGGCTGGAAGGCAGGGCCCTCTGTGGCCTGTTCAGGCTCAGGAATCACTCCAGTTGCCCTTGGCAGCCGCGAGGCCAAGCTGGCCTTGCCTTCAGGGCTCACTGGAGGGCTGAGACCTGGAACACAGAGGGGCAGGGACGAATTCTTCCCCCTGGCCAGCATGCCACCCACCCTTCCTCTCTCCTCGTAGCCCTCTCCACTCCTCCCTTCGGGCCCCTCTCCAACAGCACCTCCGCATGGAAGCTTTTATTTTTTATTTTTTTCTTTATTGATTTTAGAGGGAGAGAGAAATAGAAACATGGATGAGAGAGAACATCGATTGGCCGCCTCCTGCACGCCCCCCACTGGGGATTGGGCCCACAACCCGGGCATGTGCCCTGACCAGGAATCGAACCAGTAACCTCTTGGTGCCTGGGTCAATGCTCAACCACTGAGCCACACTGGCTGGGCTGGAAGCTTTTTTATTCTGTCCCCTGGGTACACACTGAGCTCCTCCAGGACAGGGGTGAGTCCCATTTATCTCTCCGCAGGACCTGGCCAGGGCTGGCATGTGGAAGGTGTGCCAAGGTGTGGGAAGGCTGGCAGGATGGAAGGAGGGCGCGCAGGTGCAGCTCCCACTCCCCAGGGCTTGTCAATATCCTGTCGTCTCTCTCCAACCCTCAGTGTGCCTTCTGACCATAACCTCCTGGAGACCGGACCCCCATGGGTGCAGCCTCGGGCCTCTCAGCCCCGAAGAGGAGCCTGAAGGGGTGTTTCCGGGACAGGGGGTCCTCCCAGCCCCAGGTCACATTGGGAAGCAGGTGCCGCCCTGGTTCGGAGCACGGAGGCCCCTTAGCACTCAGCCCACTGTCCCTTCCTGGTTCTGTCCCTTGGTTTTCCCATCTGGGAAATAAAGTTTCCAGAATCCCAGAGCTTTGGAGATCCTCTAAAAAGGCAATGGAGCCCCGGCCACTGTGGCCCAGTTGGTTGGGGGTGATCCCATGCACAGAAAGGTTGCTGGTTCGATTAGCAGTCAGGGCACATGCCCGGGTTGCAGGCTCGATCCGCGGTAGAGGGTGTGCAGGAGGCAGCCGGAGGGCAGGGCAGCTGTGGTTAGACAGTCCTTGTGGCCCAGAGCAGCGACCCAGAGCCCCCAGCCTGGGGCCAGCCCAGGAGGGGTGGTCAGGCCTGAAAGGAGAGCTGAATGCTCACCTGGCTGAGCGAGGGAAGCCTGGAGGCCAAGGACCTGCGGCCTGTTGCTCAGCCTGAACAGACCCGCATCTTTTGGGGAAGGCATGTGCTTCCAGACCTGTGCACGCTCAGGCTGGAGACCAGAGTGTGAGATCAGCATGAGGCCCGGGGACGGTGCAGGCATGCCCCTGGATCACACGGTTGGGAATGGACAGCTGCCTCCACGTGGGGTGGGGGAGCCCGGAGAGGCCACCATGCTGCCTCAAAGACGTCCTCTGTCCACTGACTGCTGCCCAGATTCCCCACTGAGCTTCATCC